TGAACCAACTGCGCAAACTAATACTAATTAGCCTATGGGATTATTTTTCAGGTGATGTATTGTATCTGTGAAATAAATTCAGCATATGTGAACATAGCATTTAGATAAATTTAAAATGATTTTGCAAAATAACTTTGTATAAGTCCCCAATGTCTACAGTACTTACTTGTCAGGGGGTGGGGGGTGCAGTGGTGGGATGCTTCACTTATAGAAAATGATTTGAGTGAATATTTGCAAACAATGGTCTTTTTTCCTCTACTCTAATTAAACAATGCAAGTCTAATCAGGGACAGAGATATCCATAATGCCAACCTAGAGAGCTTATGGCTCTTTATAGCCATAAACACAAGACAAATACTCATCAGCTGCACAAGTGAACCATAATCAATCATACAACTTAGCAGAGGAAAAACATTATTTCCTCTGTAGGAGAGTGCTGATGCTGACATAAGAATATAAATGAATGCATTCTAATTGTGAGAAATTTTGTCTGCATAGTGGTACACAAACAGTTGAAGTATATTTGCTATATGTAAGTGGAGAAAAAAAATGGAACTGTGCTTGATCACTATCAGACTGCGAAGATGAAGCCAGCTGTTGGAAGTACAACAGCACCACCCTGTGACCATAAGAACATATAACAAACTCAGTCCTACTGAGGCATGAGAGGATTTACAGTAAAAAGCACATAATGCAAAGGTCTCAAAAAGCAGCAGAATAAATACAGACAGGCAAACTGTCTGAAAAATACCAATATAAACTAACTAAATAAAAAGGCATGCATATATAGATACTGTAGGTGTCAGAAGTCTAAAGGCAGAGACCGCCATAGGAGCCACAACTTTAAAAGGGAGTTTAGGTGGGGTGAAATAAAAGCATGAATAATCAGTTTTTATCTTAGCATGACACACAGTGGACCTAACATTAACAATAGGCTAACTCAAATGGAAAATGGAGGAATGAATCATAAAAGTGCTGGTCAAGTGTCAATCCCTCATCAACAGTGACACCTGGATTTTGGAGTAAAGTAAACCAGGACTTATCATCAACTTGGGGATGAGGCCAACAGTATATAATTCTGCATTTATTAGCATTAAGCTAGACAATTATTTGCCAACCCCAGGATAACTGAATTTCATCTGCATGCGATGATAGGATATACCTTTAAAATGACTTATTCTCTTATTTATTCTCCCTCCCTGTATCTTTCAGCGGGTATCTTGGTTCCTAAGTTCTATGCTTCTGATAAGCAGTTACCAACCACATCAACCTGCCCAGTGTTTGTTTGTGAATTGTCTGTTGTTTTGTTTGTTTTGTCCTGATGACTTTCTTTTCATCTCCCTCTCCTCTATCCACTCACACCAACCAGTCGAGGCAGAAGGCCGCCCGTCAAGAGCCGGGGTCTGTTGGAGGTTTCTTCCATTAAAGAAAGCTTTTGCTCCCCATTGTCACCAAGTGCTTTCTCAAGGGAGATTTGTTTCCTCAGTAATATTAATAATAATGATAAGGTGTAGAAATATTTTATATCTGTTAGACAACAAGGCCAAAAATATCTGATCAAACTTACAAATCTAATATTGGTTGGGCTATAACATGAGCTACTGGGCCTTTACTCGATCAGTCAGTTGGCCAACAGTATCAAAAGCATCACAAGCATACAAAAATATCAGAATATTTTCCTGCATCCTAATGCCATTAAAAAAAATCTGAGAAGAGCTGTTTGGAGTGCAAGAACAGCAATCAGACTGAAACATGTTGTGTGCCTTTTTCAGGCTACTGTGGCCTGCTCAAGGCTTTTGCTGTAAATGGCAATTTGGAGGTAAAACTACAAGTAAAATTCATGTTCATTCTTTGTAAGGATTGCAACTCTATTTCGTCCTCCCAGTGATCACATTAAATTCCTTCCCCAGATGATAACTGTCATTTTAGCATTGCAGGATATTATACAATTTCCCTACTCTCATTAGGTTGCTGCATGATGATGCCACACACCTGCAAGGACACCTCCTCTGGAAGCAGCAAAACGTCACCTGTCCAAGAGACAGTGGTTGATCATGTCTGACTCTTTAAAAATTTTCAGAAGATAAGAGAGTAAACACAACTTCCTGTTGACCGCAGGTCCCAAACCATGTGGAATACAAGTAGTCCCAGTACAACTGCCAGGTGAGAGGATTTTAATCACCTTTGAAATGAACGATTAGAATAATTATTTCTGGGGAGAAGGATGACTCTTGCTATTAACAACCCTCTGTTCAATATCACAACAAATTAGTTCATGCTCATTAGTATGAGTTGTGCTTGCCTAGTGGTTTGGAAAGCCTCCAGTGGGAACTTGCTTATTACTCCCTGTGAGTGGGGCATGTAATTAGCATTCATCAAGTGCTGCATTTATATAACATCCCTCCTCACAAATGTAATTTTAACATTACATAAGTGTTACTTGCCTGATCAAAAAGGGTCTTGCTTGCGAGGCTGAATTGTTACATCAAAGGTCAGCACAACTTTCTCTGAACTCAGAAGTCTTAGAGAAAGACCAGCAAAGACCCAAACCAACAAGTTGTTAACACAACGTCAACTGTTGCTATCTGATTTCAGGACCCCATACATGTTCATAGGCCTGAGGCCCAGTGCAACACAAGGTATTTGTGCTTTGGACACAGGGTCATTATTGAACATTTGGACCGTGGAAAGCTGATCAAGACATACAACAGTTCTTGATGAGCCAGCCTTAGAAAAGAGAAACCAAAATGAGAGGAAAAAAACTTGAGAGGAAAATTTAAAAGAGAAATCCACACTCCCTGGAGGGTTAATAAAATTGCATATACTAAAAATGAACAGAACGTTGCACCAATTAGTAGAAACACAAGATATGACATTATTTAAAACTACAGAATTCTGAGCAAAAATAAGAGTACATTTTCAAAAGTAAAGGCACTCATTAGGCAGGAGCAAAGACCCTGTATGTATCATGTAATATTGGATACTAATGTATTAACATGTAAGCATCATTTAATTTTTTTTACACTTGAGATGGAACACATTTTAACTGCCTTATATATTGCAGGATATTTTAATCTGACAAATCATGTTTTGTGATGGAAAATCTTAATCTGAAATATACTGTAACTAGTAATTATTGTTGCCAGTAAATTGTGGTGACAATGCAATATAGTTATGTCAACAATGTAAAGAAAGGGGAAAAAACGTAAGTCTTTCCTTTTTAAAAGGTTGAAATGACTGTTTAGTTTGCTTCTCTCTAGTTTGGCTGCCTGACCATTTAGATTGCTTCATATTTCACCAATGTAAAACAGGTAACTGGATATTAGTTGATGGTACAGTTATAATTCACATCAACTGCCTTCTACTTAAGAAACAGTCTTTATGAAAACTGTAGTGTTATCATCCACCACCTGGTCCACACTCCCCTCCAAAAAAACCAAAACTAAAATAAACAGCTCCCACTTCTCACAAATTGCAGTTTAACCATCAGATGAGAATGTAGTCCCTGGTAATGTGACTGATGGAGCTAAAGTACTAACAATGTGGTTACATCAACAATGTAAAGAAAGGGGGGATTTTTAAAGCAAGCCTTTCCGTTTTGAAAGTTTGGAGTGATGGTCCTGTTTATTATGCTACTTAAAGTTTTCTTGTTTTAATGAGATACTTTTCTCATTAAAATGAGAGTACCACATTAAAACGAGAAAAGTATCTCGTTATAATGAAATCCTGAGTAGTGTTTTCCTCATAACGGCAGCAATACGTTGCCTTCAGTACAGTATCGTAATATACAAGGTACAGAATTGCAGTGTACACACACTTCCTGATGGAGCTGCTCCTGCGAAGAACGAAAACACGCTTCTGGCAAGCCAGCTAGACGAGTTATGAAAAAGTTATGTGTGGCACTCAGATGGATAGAGAAATAATATTTTTTAAAATGGACGTTATTACTCGAGTTTCCGTACATGAATAGTAGAAAATATCCTCATGTCCAGAGAGCCGGCACTGGAGACAAGTCAACTGCGAAGGGTGGGATTGTTAAAGCTAATAAGTCCCTGTAGCCGTTAGCAAGCAGGCCAGCCAGCTAACGTAAGCTGGCTAGCTAATACCCTCTAGGCCTTGGTTAGCTTGTTTTTACTCGCGACTGTGGTATGGTAATGTTAAACTGTGGTCAGCACCAGTCAACAGTGATGCTGTAGGCCTGTAACATAGCTTAAGGTATGCCAGAAGCTAACTGTGAGAACTCTTGACTTTCAGTGATTTGTTTTTCGAAGGCAGCTATAGTTAGCTCTGCTAGTTAAGCTACGCGGTTAGTCAGCTGGTTTAATGCACCATTCTACCTGACAGAATGCTAATGTTATGCGGCTGTAACTCATTTGACAGATCATGACGGAATGTGTAACTATTATAAATATACTGCAGTCCTCTAAGCAGTTATTCATTATGTTTTCAAGCCATGGCCCTGGGTAACGACATGTTAGTTACATTATTGTGCCCTTATAATAGTTGTCTAGAGGCAAGTCTGCTCATTGATGTGCTGAATTTAATTGTAATTAACGTTGGCAATGGCATAAAACGTATGCCCTTTTTGTATGCAATTTTCTTTCTATTCAGTAAGTTACTAGCTAACGATAGCTAGTAATGTCTTTAACGTTACCATCCACCGATATGCTTGAAACACCTCCTGGATACCCATTTGAAGAAATCAACTATGAGGATATTGAAGTTGAGGAGGTAGGTTGTGTTGATTATTATGGCTTGTTTGTGTTCCTGGCACTGTCCAGGCTCAGTTAACTTAATGATCTAAATGAACTTTCAGAAAGTAAGGTGCAGAAGCTTACACCTAGCCAACTTAGCTAACGTAACTTCGTTGTTCTCTCTCTATTTTCAGGTGGTGGGGAGAGGAGCTTTTGGGGTTGTTTGCAAAGCCAAATGGAAAGGCAAAGATGTTGCAATCAAGACCATTGAGAGTGAATCAGAGAGAAAAGCCTTTATTGTTGAGGTATTGTTGTTCTTGTCCTTAACAGGTTTTCCCACTGCTACAACATGTTTTGTTGACACTTGCTTTAGATCAAGAGTTAATATCACAATTTCATTTGTATTACTTCTTATCATTGCCATCAGTAGTAGTGCTAATAGGGTTTCTTACTCTTGACTCTCTTGGGGCTAGGCCTAGACAGTGGTGTGTGTTCATTGAGTTAGGTGTTTTTATCTTTCATCTCTTCTGTGCCTTCTTTGTCACATGCCTCTTCCACGTTGTAGTCCGAAATGTCAGGTTGTCATGCTAGTAGGTTACCCATGTCGTCTGTACAAATCCCACATTTTCCTTCTCGTCTTGAAGCAATAAAAATACACTTGATGATGTTAAGATCGTCTTAGTGTACTGTGTGATGGGTTGGTTGCTTAGTGTGAAATTGCAGGTTTAGAGGCAACAAAGGTTTGACTCCTGCAGCCCATGCTAAAAATGTAAATATGCATTCTACCATCTTGGTTTTAAATAAAACTATGGATTACAGAATCTTAGTAGAAAGAGTAAAAACCGAATTAGTAGTGAGGCTAAGTGGTTGTGCCATATCCAGCTCCCATGATGCATCCATGGGACAGAGTTACTGCTCTACATAAGTTTGAGTTTGACTATCTCTATTTCTTTTATCTATGACTGTACTGTCATAATACAACATACATATGGTACAAGTTGGTAGATTTTTGCTTATTTGCTGTTACAATAATACACATGGAGCATCAACACAATTATCACAATAAGTTCAGTAAAAACACTTAATGATGTCATAAGTTATTAGCTTTATTGAAATCTAAAGGTCCACCTTTTATATATAACAAGGTCAAATGACACCCAGACATCAGTGTCAGTAATAGTAATAAATCACCTAGTAGTCAAACAGGCCATGCATGATAAACAGTAAAAGATTCTGGACTTTGCTGAAAACATTCTATGCTTAAGCTTCATTAGCCTGCCCCCAGTGTTGCCTATGGAGCAGAGCACATGGGTAGTCAGTATTTATGCACTCAAACATGCTTGTAGATGGAATTCTGTGTAATGTTTTTCACTTATGTCTCCAGCTTCGTCAGCTTTCACGTGTGAATCACCCCAACATTGTGAAGTTGTATGGCTCTTGCAATAGTCCGGTAAGTTAAGTAGAATGTTATGCTCTTTTAACTGCACAGGTGCATTGATGCAGAAACTCACCAGTGATGGTGTGTCTAGTTGAATGTGTGAATTTTTTGATGATTTTCTTTCTCACTCAGGTCTGCCTTGTAATGGAATATGCTGAAGGTGGCTCATTGTACAATGGTGAGTCTATATGTTGTGCTAGAGAACAATACCATTGTATTACCGATGACAGCCTTTATTCCACTTTACTAGTGGTGAAATGAACACAGCTTTGCACAGACATGAGAAGCACTCCTGTTCAGTTGACACCTCCCACTGTTTGCATGTGAAGTCACTTGTCCAGTTCCTTTATCAGCTACTCTTGCACAGTGACATGCAGTATAGCCTTGTTGTGTACATGCATTAAACATCCAAGTAGACGTGGTAAATTGTAAGGTTTAACAAAAAACACTATGCAGTAATCTTCTTCTTCTACCTTCGGCTGTTCCTGTTAGGGGTCGCCACCAAACTCTAGCCTCGGCATCTTCTACTCTCACCGCAGTCAACTTCATGTCCTCTTTTAGCACATCCATATATCCCCTTTTTGGCTTTCATCTTGACATCTTGCCTGGCAAAAAAACCCTACTATGCAGTAATACTGTGTCTTATTTTAGATACATATGTGCTATAGTTTCCACAAACATTAGCATCATAGATTCAGAATTATTGTTGATTAACAAAAAATTCAGTTAAAAAAAGGACACTATATTTTGGCTGTTACTCTGCTGCTTGTCTTTTGCCTGCTGAGCTGCTAATGAATCTTAACAGTTAGACCTACTGGTTCTGATGAGCATCAAACGCAATTTGCATATTGTTACCCAGCAGTATGTAAAATACTTGAAATTATAACTATATAAGGTTATTACAATTCACTCTTCCTTTATCAGCTCCAGCATCAAATGTGATGGACACAATAAAGCACCACTAATAATATTCTAAGAATATAGTTGTGCCAATCTGTACTTTTACTTTTGGTACTTCAGGTTAGATTTTTATGCTAATAATTTTGTGCTTTTTAAAGTAATATTTTCATTGCAGGACTTTTACTCAGTTTTTTCCCCTGTGGTACTGCTAGTGTTACTTCAGTAAACACTGAGTACTTTTCCACCACTGGTTTTTGGTAGCTGGTGTGTTTTGTAAAAGGAAGGCGGTGGAACAAAAGAGAGCACTTGGTTGTGTTGTTGTTAATGTTACATCTGCAGCAGTGGAGAACAGCGTCAGTGCTACAGTGTTACTACCATAGAAAACCATCATGATCCAAAACGGGCACATGTGTGAAGAGACACGGTCTTTACTTTGGCTCACCAGTTTGACTGAAGTGCTAAAGTGTGTGTTACTGAGCTGGTCTCGTTTAATGATCCACTACGCTAATGTCAGTCTGTTGGTGATGGGCTATGAAGTATTCACACAGTCCTCCATACTTGGCTTCTAAAATTCATTTTCAAGTTATTAACACACACACGCAAATGAATTTTTTTGTCTGAAGATGACCTACAACCATAGATGTACAACAGAATTCTAGCATGTGCGCGCATGTCCGTATGCAACACTCACTTCATGGTTGACTTCCGCCTTTTGTGAATCCATTTAGAGTGGTAGATGATGTGAATTGTGATTCTAATGTGAATAGATTTTTTTTCCTCCCATCCCTAGTTTTAACCATCATTACTGTTTGTAATAATAAGACTGCATTTCCAGAGGCAATTGCTGAAATCTGAGAATGCTGAGACATCGCTAAAAACAGTCAGCAGGTATTAAATAGCTCTTGGGTTAGGCAAACAATTTTACCAGAAGACAAAGGTGAATGATAAATGTATTATCAAAACTGTTTGTAAACATCAGCAGTTAACAGATAGACTTTCTGCTTTGTCTTTGATCTGCTAAACATGTCATAGTTGCATGCACACAGTTTTCCTGTGCAGGAAGGTGTTATTAATATTTTGGGTCATTTACCTCAAGATAAAGTGTATTCAGATAATCTAGCTTGTTTATAAGCTGTCTGATTGTCTAACAGGTCATGTTTCTTGTCACATTAGTCTCCAATGTAGCATTGTCACTGTCTGCCCAGATCTAAGCATTTCCTTTGTTGAGGTGCTGTGCTTCAGAATTACCTCTCCTCCTTTGGTGCTGAATCTCTATCGTAGTTACTACTGGGAGCTACAGTATGTACTGTATGATACTGTAATTGTAGTGTTCTGCAGTTCAGTTGTGCATACTGTTTTTGAACATTGTATTCCCAGTTCTCTGCTGTGGAATATACTTGTTAAAGAAATGGGGCAACAAGGTAGCCAGCCCTCTGTCAACCCTGCCTTTCTATGTGGGTGATTCAGTATGTGTGCAGTGAACCATGTGAATTTTCAGTAGCAGCCACTGCTACAGAATGTATATTGGGGAAACACTGACATGACAGTGTCATGAATCCCTGAAAGGCCTAGCTTTCTGCTTGCCTCCTCTAGAGGCTTATTGTCTATGGTGGTTGTGACTTTGCTCTCTTGTCCACAGTGCTGCATGGTGCTGAACCCCTCCCCTACTACACTGCTTCCCATGCCATGAGCTGGTGTTTACAGTGTTCCCAAGGTGTGGCATATCTCCATGGCATGAAACCAAAGGCTCTCATTCACAGGGACCTCAAGCCACCTAAGTATGCTCCTCCTCACCTTCCACTCTTTTGTCTGCTGGTTCATTGTGCCAACAGAATGCCTTTTTCCTTTAAGCTAGTTTGATTTAGCTCATTTTGTTGGTCAGACTATCTGATGTTAATAGCTGGAAATGTACCAGTTTTGTAGCACAGTATCACAAGCCCCTTGATCAAAAATATGTAGTGTTATGTTATTTTGGTCTTTTATTAAGACAATAAATCAAATCATTTTAATGACTAATAATACATTTTACTTTTAGAACAATTTTCAAGATCTCAAGACACACTTTAGATGAGTAAATATGCCATGTTTTAGGGGGAGACTAGTGTTTTTGTATTTTTATGCAACATCATTGCCCTCAACCACCTGTAATCCTTTCACATTATTTGAAAAAGCAGTTTCTTTTATCATTAAAAAGTAGTTTTGAATGATACTACTATTACTGTGATGCTACTACTATGATTTTATTAAGCAATTTGATAGCACTGCGTTAAAAGAACTGGCAAAACCATGAAAGAAAAATGTATGTAGATTATAAGGCAGGTTCTAGCAGGGGCCTTAAGATGACACATTAAAAGTATTTTTAGATGTAAAAGATTGTAGGTAAAAAATGTAAAACCATGAAAATGTGGTCAAAACTACATATTTTAGACCACCTGTCTTTTGGTAACAGCAATTCTCTCTGATTTAATGTGGACAAATTATTTAGACCAACATTATCTGAGTGTGAATAAACTTCCAGTCTTTTTAATGAGATGACTACAGTGACAAAGCAGCAGTCTTTTTCCATAGGGCTCCAGTCTAAAGCATCACAGGGTCAAGTTTAATCTTGCTCAATTATGTCACAGTGCATTTCAACATGAAGGCACTCAAAAAATGTGCGGACACACTTTACTGCTAGATAACTTTGTTACCGAGATGATTTTATGATTCTTTGCATTTTGCTTCTGTCCACAGGAGCAGGTAGTGCCACAACTGTGGTGTGCCATGCAATTAGGAGTAGATATAAACACTTTATGATTTATGATGGATTACCTAAACTGGACCTCCTGGATTGTTTCATTTCTCCTCAGTGTCTGAAGCAGCAGACCCCCTTGTGTTTTTTTCAGACATTGCTTTTTTATTGGTTTGAACACCCAAAAACAAAGTGTTACAAAAAGAGATCTAGATCCAGGAGGGTATTTACTGTGCTCTGATGGAAAGAAGGTTCCTGGCAGGACTCTCTGGAAGTGACCAGCTGGTGTGTTTCCTGGAGAACTGTTGTGGAGTTTCCAAGAATAACAAGATCACACACTGTGACAAATTGCCAACTCTGGGTTATTGTACATGAATTTATATAAAATATACTCTGTTTATTGATTCATCTAAGCTTGAGACTGTTAATACACTGATATATTGTACAAGCGTAGAACCTGTAGCTCTTGTTTCCTGAATATGACTTAAATTTCGAATACACTTCAGTCTTTTAGTCCAGTGGTTTCGAAGTCGAACCTGTGGGCTCCCAAGCTAATAAAAGGAATAAGTAAGAAAATTGCGGGGGAAATTTTACTGTATGGCTTTTCATTTTGCTTTTCTTATGAAATATTAGACACTTTTAAGCACATTTCTTGTACTTTAAAACCAAGAATTTTCGGGTTGAAGAGCTCACAGTTTATGTCCACACTTGGGTAACTTCCCTTGATGAGAGATCACAAGTCAGAACTACACTGTTTTTGTTCCACAAAATGCTCAGTAATCATTTCCTTGTCATTGATCCTTCCTAGTCCAGTGCTTCTGCTGTGGTTTATTTTGTGCTTTCTTTGTTTCAGTCTGCTTCTAGTTGCAGGTGGCACTGTGCTGAAGATATGTGACTTTGGAACAGCTTGCGACATTCAGACCCACATGACCAACAACAAAGGAAGTGCAGCATGGATGGCTCCGGAGGTGTTTGAAGGCAAGGATGAATCACAGTTGAAATATTTAAATGCACTGGAGTAGGGCTGACCCCAAATAGTTCTATAGTCGAATTATGAGTTGCAAGGCTTGTAGGTCAAATTAGACGCTTATAGTTGAGCCTTTGTTTTTATTTTATTGTGTGAGCACACACACACGTTTTCCTGTTCATTATTTATTATTGTGTGGATGCTTTTTAGCATCCACACTATCCTGTTCTTTATTATTATTATTCTGGTTTCTTCTGTACATTTTTTGGCGCTTAATTTCTTCAGCATACTTTCAGCTAGAAAAGCTGACATTCC